CTACTGCTAACTGCAGCAGCACTTTGTTTAGAATCTGTTTCAGTTTCACTTTCTGCTTGTTTGAGCAAATAAATGAAGCTTTAAGAAGCTTTATTTCTGGAATTTATTTATTATCATTGTCGTTAAATTGAAGTTGGACAGATGACTTGATTATGACTTGAAAATTCAAAGTTAAGGACTTGGACTTCCACATCATTGACGTCAGACTCAACTTGGTCTTGGTTGTCTTTGACTTGGACTTGACTCGAGACTTGACTGGAAAGACTTGTGACTTACTTGTGACTTGCAAAGCAGTGACTTTAGAGAAGATAGATGGTTTGAGAGAGGAGTAAAGGAAGCTATCTATGTCAAACATTAAACAGATGCCTCGGGTTTCACCTTTCCAGCACCTATAATTCAAATCTGAACCTAATTCCAAAACAGGGGGTGTTTCTCAATGCCAAGGAACCTCGCCTTGATGTCTTGGCCCTGCCCCGGTTGCCTAGGAGACACGTCATCAGGAGCCACCAAGACATGTTCCAATGTTCATGTTCTACCGAGGCGTGTGTTCTCCGTTTGTTAGCCGTTTAGCTAGCTGAGCAAGGATACACGGGAGGTGTCTTGTAGCCTAGCCTTGGTCACAAATTACCCAGAATACGCAGCGGTATTTTCAAAAGGATGGCGGATCAGAAGCCGGCAGCTACTTCGGGGGCAAATTTCAAGTTTAAAAGTAAGTCAACTAATTTAAAATGTTTTTTTTAATCCAAAGAAGTTATCTATGGTTGGTTATTTGCTTAGTAGTTGCAGCTTCGGTGGCTAGCGGGTAGTAACTCGCTTATATATTTAATTTAACAAATAGATGCACAATTTAACTCATTCACTGCCAGCCGTTTCCTGATCACTAACGGCCTTCGCTGCCAGCGTTTCTCACCGTTTTTACTGTTTTTTTAAGAGTCACAGAACGTTGCGCGCTAGCATGATGTCGATGCCAAAACAACCAAAACAAAGAGGAGACTCACCTCTTACATCAGGAAGAAGCTGTGTGTTTCAAGCGTTATCCGTTCTTTCATAATCCGTTGTCGAATTGTGATCGTCAGATGCTTCTACGGTTCGCGCCTCACTTTTTTTACAGGAACGGCCCAAAACGATCTCCAAACACATGGATGGTCTGCTTCCTGATCATGTGATCTGTGACGTATGCGGATGAAGATCGGCTTCAGGGCTGAGATGTTTGTTCTCTCAGCGCGGGGGCTCGTTCCGATGCTCAAACAGTAAAAAATGCAAATGACGACTTTAGTCGTCATTGGCAGTGAACGGTTGGATCTAAAATGACGACTTTAGTCGTCAATGGCAGTGAACGGTTGGATCTAAAATGACGACTTTAGTCGTCAATGGCAGTGAATGAGTTAAAAAGTAAAAGGCTCGTTATATATTTATATTGAAACTAATACATACAAAATATAACATTATCTCCCATATCACGTGATGTTACGTGACCGCCGTGGAAGCCTCGGTAAAGTGATGCAAGTCTGTTCCATTTGACCGTTTTCTTTGACCAACGGAGGACAGTGTCCTCGTAATCAAGGCACCTGGCCTCGCAAGACATCACCTCTCAAGGCCAGGCGCCTTGACATTGAGAAACACAGAGTTTCAGTTTAAGGCAGACCCTCCTGCTTCTAATCAAAACAGCCATTCTGACACAATAGGACCTAACGACATCAACAAGTCCTTGGGGGTAAGGGGGATGGGTATTCATATGTAGTTTCAGCTCAATAAGCAACAATAAACAGAATTGACAAAGCTCGTCGGATGGGAAGCGAAACGTCTTCAAGAAACCAAAGTAGTCCAGTTGCCTTCATTCGAACCCCTTTGGATTAGGTCAAAGAAGTCAAAACATGTTGATGCAGAAATTCTATGTATAGTAAAAAGGTTTGGGAGTGTTCGTTAAAGGTTTTGAGAGTGAGAGTCTGACCTTTCCAAGTTAGTTTGACCTCATCACATTCAGTTTGTTAACAAACCTCCAAAATGTATTCAGTTGAAACTGCGACTATGCAAAAACCACGAAAGAATCCTTAACGTCAATTCAGTCACACGACGTTCAGCATTCAGTGATTGATTTAAACGTTGAATGAGGTTTCTGCCCTGAGATAGACAGAGCCACGTGGGGCTGGATTTCCTCACGTTTAGCCCAAATTCCACTGATGTCAAACGGGAGACTTCCTATAGTATTTAGCACTGCTATCAAAGGTTTCACCCGATTGAGCTCAATGTTTTGATGTAAAATTTGCACGTTTATTTCAAAATCGCTGGGTGTGAAATTGGGAAAAGGTCAAGATGGAATCATGAGCGGGATGGTAATCACGGTGCTTTGGTGCTTATTCATCAGGCAAGAGGTCAGACATGATTTAGCCAGGATCAAAATAGAAGTATTAATCCTCCTTTGCTATTTAATCCATCTGTCCGTCTGGAAGTAATAAGCCCATCTCTGAAGCCTGCTGTGTGCTATTCTTAGCCAAACACAAAGTGAGCCTTAAGATAAATAGCTCTAGCTTTTCTCACTGCACCTGTGCACAATCGCCGGACGTTACAGATATTCACACAGATGTTGGAGTTCCATCGGTCTGAACGTGTTATTGAGCTAGCAGAGTCCGAAAGGGAGCAGAAGCACAGCAGGAGCCCTGAGAGAAAGCAGGCTGATAAAGAAGCTTGTGAAGCTGCGTTGCATGACACACACTTAAATACACACACACACACACACACACACACACACACACACACACACAAACAACGCGGCATGACAGGACACTGATAACAACCTAGATAATCGGACCATTTCTAAAAACAGTCCGTGAGGGTAAGAGCGCAGATGAAGGGAAATACTGTGGAGTTGTACCTAAAGTAAAAACAAAACAGCTACCACCTACATGTTGCACTTTAAAGGAAAGGTTTCCTTTCCGCTAATGTTGGATGCAAACATCGTCTGACATGTAGACAAAAACGGGGTCGATATTTCTGTGAATCTCCTAACCTAGAAATCTGGACAATAGCAGAAGAAAAACAATGTCGCTCTGCATGTCGGGCTAGCCTCACTCCATTAAAGCCTTCGAGGACCCAGACAGCCTTGTGACGTGCCAATCACAACGCTCAGTTGGTTTGGTGTGTGGGATGATGCAACAAAGCAGAACAACTAAGATGGCGGCGGCTCGTTTGAAACAGCTTTGGCATCAGCTCTGGCTTCTCTTTGAGTCAAGATCAGATAGAGGTACTGAAGTCCTTTATTTAGAAAAACTACGTATTTGCATCTTCTTCAACAGAGTATGGCAAAATGCCTCGTTGGCTGACATCTGTAGAGGAGAGCATGTTACGTTGTTTGCTGTCCAATAGCATGTGGAGGCAGTTTGAAAGACAACCGTAGATTCCGCCCTATGACTAAGCTCTGTCTATGGGTTGCAGCCTGTCTATAAGTATATGCACATAAATAGGATGGCTTGACGGGTTGTGAATCCCCATGACTTTAGGGGAAATATTCTGTTGACTAATGAGACCAAAGTGGGATAAGGTGTTTGTCCCGTTGCATCTGGTGTAAAGCTAACTGGATTCTAGAATCGTAAATGGTAAATGGCCTGTATTTGATATAGCGCCTTCTAGAGTCCTAGAACCCCTCAAGGCGCTTCACAACACAACCAGTCATTCACCCATTCACACACACATTCACACACTGGTGAGGATGAGCTACAATGTAGCCACAGCTGCCCTGGGGCGCACTGACAGAGGCGAGGCTGCCGAGCACTGGCGCTACCGGTCCCTCCGACCACCATCAGCAGGCAACGTGGGTTAAGTGTCTTGCCCAAGGACACAATGACAGTGACAGACTGAGCGGGGCTCGAACCTGCAACCTTCCGATTACGGGGCGAGCACTTAACCCCTGTGCCACCGTCGCCCCATAGAAAGAACATCTTACTTACAGTCAAATAGGGGTGGTAGTGTGATGCTCTGGGGTTACTTTTCTGCTTCAGGACCTGGACCACTTCCGTAAATAAGAAAGCTAGAAAGCATGGCTTGGTAAACCATGTCATAAATAGTCTTGCCACGATCCTTAGAAAGAGCTTGGTTGTGGGGCGAAATCTACAATTGTATTTCAAACTGTATCCGCGTGCTAGAACCAATCTGAGAAATGAACACATCCATCGTTACTGAAATCAACAAGGCGGTCGGGTGAGTCCACGAATGTTAAGTGACAGCGTGACGTAGATCTGTCAGAAAACTCATTATAATCAGAAACTTTTAGTACAAATGGTTTTTCGGTTTTCCACGTCTTTAAGTACCTCTATCTGCTCATGTCTCTAAGAAAAGCTCAAGTCTAAATCGTCTAAAGTTGGTGTTCCAAACGAGCACCCTTCCTGACCGACAAACATAGAGTGCTATAAAACTGTTCGGGCCAATGGAAGACCTGCTGAAGCTACAAGCGAGCATGGTTAGTTCAACTGCTTCTGGCATTGGAGTAGAAAGATGAAGTATCATGAAGGATTCAAACCAGGGTTGTTGCATATCTACTAATTATGTGATGAAATTCAGTTTAGATGCCATGACATTGCCTTAAAAAGGCTGTCCAGTTCTTGTCCACATATTGCTCCAATAGAGACGGATTAGATCTGAGCCATTGGTAATTCTCTTTTACTGTATTTTGCCTCGAGGAAAAGGCTCTTTCCCAGAGTTGCAACTACCAAAAGACGATGTTGCTGACATCTAGTGGCGACGTTTTGACATTGCAGTATTTGTAGAACACGGAACAAGTCTTCCGCCAATCAAATTTATGGATTTGTGCTGCCTTCAAGATTCTGGGAAATGTCCGTTTTTTAACGGTGAGGAAAATGTTTAGGTGTTGTTTCTTCATTTTAAGTGAAATAATTATTTAAAGCTCAAACAAAAAGTAGATTACAAGGATTTTGTTTTAGTTACTTTTTTAATAAGGAGAACTTTTGTGCTTTCTGTGCCTAAGAATTGGATAACCGCAGGGTGGGAAAAGTCAAATTTACAAGCAGCCACTGAATGCAACAGCACCATCCACCCCTTCCCGAAGACCCTCTCAGGAAACGAAAGGGTTAATGAGTTTTTAAGGATCCGATCGATGTCTCTTCTTCCACACGTCGCCATGAACAAATGAATTCGCGGGGAATTAAATATCACTTTCATAAAGGAGAACGAGTCCTGTGCTTTGAACCAGACCCTACCAAGGCTAAAGTCTTGTATGACGCTAAGGTAACATTTTACCGAACGTAACGTCACGTTTCTGTACGAAAACGTCGCACAATTGCTTCATTTTAACTTGGAATGCGTGGTTGTTTTTCCTTCGTGGTGCAAGAGAAGGCTGCGTAGGCCACAATAATAAGGTTAGCTGCTATAACCCAGTGCTAGCTACCTTTCTGTGCTTGTTTTGCGTGATTTCCGGGTGCGTTCGCTAACTAGCGCGGTCGCAGAATGATGTATGAAAACACAACTCTTATATTTTAACATTCCATGCTGCGTCAGAACCCTTCTATTCTCTAAACCACCGCCATTGAATAAAACTGTTTTAACTAATCTAGCTACACTTGTTTACTTTGCTAGCTTCAAAACCACAGTGATAAACAAACCCTATATCATGTGGCTAGCGCTAATTTAAAATATTAAATCATTGATTATTTAAGTATAAGTATCGTGTAAATATATATAAGCTTTAATGCTTTAATGTTATTCTGTACAAAACTGGTTAGCAAGCTAGCTCTCAATGCTGGCATTCTGAGGATGCTAACAAGTTAGCCTTCGCTAATCATTAGCCTCCTTGTAGTTTTTTGTTATTTAACTGTCTGCCATAAAACTAAACGTAGTATTGTACTGAAATCAGAAACAGTAATAGAAATTACACAATGTCGTTGTTTATTCTCAAAATAGGCATTTTGAGGGATTATTTCAGGTCGGGTTAGGGTTGTCACAGTTGAGAGATACTTGACAACACACCTCAAAAGTGTTTAAAATTAATTTGGCAAAGGTTTGAGGACCCAGATCAAATGCAAAAGGCATACTCTGCAAGAATCAAAGAGTGCATTTGAGGTGACAAGGTGTTTTTTTTCTGTTCAGGATAGTTAATGTCCAAGAAAACTCAAGTGTAGACCTCTTTAAAGTATGCAACACAAGAAGGTGGTGTGTCCACATCAAGCTGTGAAAACTCCCCACCCAGAGCTGCAAGACAAAAAATAAAACCACTGTGTAATCCTTTTACTCGCAGTCGCAGGAGATGACTAATTCCTGAGTTCTTGCTTGGTATGTAGAAGCCTTAGAAATATTGCCTGATGTCAAAAAGAGCAGCAAAGAAGCAACTTCTGTCCATGAAAAACATCAGGAAAGACTGATCATCTTCAAAAGGTCCTTGGATTGGACGGCTAAGGATTGTGGGAAAGTTGTGAGAAAGCAGTGAAGACTGCCGTAAACATGACCAGTTCACATCTATAGAACCCACTCCTGAATGGACATATGAGCGTTTAAACCCTGATTTTAATATTGTGCAATAAAACGTTCATATTTATAAACTCTGTAGCTATTCAGTTACGAACATGCTGGTCTCTTCCATATGAAAATGTGACCAAATCGCTAGATTATTACTGACATCAGCTGTTGACCCGGAGCAATGACTGGTTACTGCTGTCATTTATGGAAACCGGTGGAAAAAATGTAATTTGTTTTTGTTAAACTAATGAATGTTTATGAGCTCAGAGGCAAATGAAGACCACAGCATCAGTGTACTTTCTGTTTTCTTGTAGGTTCTTGATGTCTTGATCGGTACAGATGAACATGGAAGACGAGTCCCAAAGTACCTGATTCACTTCAATGGTTGGAGCAGAAGGTAATGAGACTTTGTTTAATCAAAAAAGTTATTTATTTACATTTTCAGAGGATGAAAACTACTTAGAGCAAAGAAAAACCACAAGGTAGCTGCTAGCATGCTGGGCATAATACAGTTAAACAAAAGCAAACCCCCCCCCCCCCCCCCCCCCCCCAATTTATATATAAAATCACATGAATATTAAAGATGTTTACAGACAGCGCAACAGCACGTTCAGCAATAACAAAAGTGTTGCTGAGCTTCTGTTAATATTATTTATGTATTAAATTAATATTATTATTATTAAGACAATCAGACACAGTACAAGTAGGTTTGATGTGCTCAAATAGCAAGTTTCTAAATTGACACAAAGAAGTAATAGACCTTAAAATGACGGTGTGTATTTTCCCTTGCAATAGGGGGCTGTACACGCCTAAATAATGTCCGGCAAGCAGTATTTTTGTGCTCGAGTATGACCTTACTTCCAGAGACTTGGGTTTTTTTTTTCAATGTGTTACAAGACCGAAAACGTTTAAATTGAACAAACTTACCTCACCTCACACATGAGAGTTAAATTTTAAACTTATACATTTCAATAAAGATGTATAATGAGCCTTTTACTTTTTAAATTGTGTACATATTGCTTAAATTATGTAAGTGAGTTAGTACCCGCTAGCCACCGAAGCTGCCACTACTAAGCAACTGACCAACCATAGATAACTGCTTTGGATCTAAAAAACAAAGAAAAACATCGTAGATGTCAGCCCGATAGCTACAATTAGTTGGCTTACATTTAAACTGGAAGTTTGCTCCTGAAGAAGAAAATATCATTTCTATAGCGCCTCAAGATAAAAATCACGAGGCGCTTAAAGTAGATGCTGCCGACTCCTTATCCACCATCCTTTTGAAAATACCGAGCTGTAACCTGGGAAGGGAAAAAGACACCTCCCATGTATCCTTGGGCCAAACTGCTAACAAACATAGGACAGACAACTCGGTTGCACATGAATATTGGAACACGTCATGGCGGTTCCTGATAACGTACCTCCTAGGCAACCGGGGCAGGACCAAGGCATCAAGGCGCGGTTCCTTGACATTGAGAAACACCCACTGATCCACTCCCATGTATTTTAGACTCAGTTTTTATGGTTATATGTTACAAAGCCGCCAATATTTTCAACAACTGGGCATCATTCAATTCTTTTTCAATAACATTTCGATGTTAAAACTGCATGTTGTTGCTTTAAATTAACCGGTACTTTGTTCAAGTCCAACGGCGCTTTAACGGAAAAAGCTAGCATCCCTGACACCTTTTTAAAATGAGGAACCACAAACGAAATCTGCTCAATTCTGCAAATGTTGTAGTAAGACCCAAACAGTATCATTAGAGGTTAAATAAGACTGAGACTTAAAATACGTACATTTAAAAATAAATGGCAGCCAATGAAATCTTCGCCTCGCAGCAGGTGAAAGCCAGGATAAAACATAACAGTGATGCAATCGAAAAAGACAGCATAAAACAAAACAGCATATACAAATATAGACAACATCAATAGATTGTATCAGCCTAATCTAAGAGTGGAAACAAAAGCTGAGTAACGATGAATTTTCTTACACTAAAATCAGAACAGTTGGTAGATCAATATAAAGTTTTAAGGAGTCATTGATTATGTTTGCCACTGCCCTTCGATGCATTTTAAAAGGCAAGTTTGGCTCCAACCAGATATTTAATTGACTTGGTAGATTTCAGCTGCAACAAATCTAAATAAGTTCACCATAGCATTAAATATTATTTAGATTTAAGAGCAACTTATTATTTAACATTATTGAAGTAAATCTGTAGAGACTCTTGAATTTCAATTATGCTGAATTTAGAGCAATATAAATGCTATCATCTGCATGTAAATGGTGCGTGATCTACAAGATAAATGTAAGTCTTTAATAAAAAAATTAAAATAATGGTGGCCCCAAGATAGAACCTTGTGGGACGCTCTAACAGCTCCCTGTTGTCTAGAGTGAGCTTCATTAAAAACAAGCTGAATTGGCTTCCATCAGCTCGTGTTGCGATAACAATGCTGTGGAGAGTTGATGAACATCTTTGATGTTTTTCTTGTAGCTGGGATCGGTGGGCTGCGGAGGATCATGTCCTAAGGGACACGGAGGAAAACCGAAAACTGCAACGTAAACTGGCTCGCAAAGCGCTGGGTCGCATGTAAGTTCATGTTGTCTCTTAGAAAGAAAGTCCGCACATATGAAGTCTTTTTCGTGGCATCAATCAGTTTCAGCCAGGTTTCTGTTAACAATAGAATATCGGCTATTTGTTGCACTGGTGCTGTTTAAACTATCAGTAACAGAAGCAACACATTCTTTGTGGACAGGAAGAGAAAAGGATGGACGAAGAGGCGTCGTCGTCAGTCCTGTACTAAATCTTCTCTGAAGACTCTCCCTAAGGAGGACGACAGCGATGACGCTTGTGAGGAATCTGTCTGAATCCTCTGCTCCCACAGCAAATCACTTTGTGTCTCACAGATTTGCTCTTTTCGTCCGTAGGTTTGATTTCAACCTCAGACAGCAGCGAAAGCGACGACTCTGACGCCGATTCTTCAAACAGTGGCGACAGCACATTCTCTGAGGATATCAACAAAATGGTAAACCGGATTGTTCGCTTGGTGAAAACGCTCCTCTGTCCCTTTGAGAGTTTCCAAGATCTACGGGTTTTGTTTCAGAGGGTTGAGCCAGATGTCAACATGAAGAGGGAAAGTGAGGAGAAGATTGTTCACGTGGACATCAGCATCCCTGATGTTCTCAAGAAGAAACTGGAAGATGACTGCTTTTATATCAACAAAAGGAAAAAGGTATCCAACAGTAGGGATGGGTACCGAATTCGGTACTTTTTAAGGTACCGAATTCGGTACTTTTTAAGGTACCGACCGAGCACCGATTCACGTCATTTCAAACGGTGCCTCGTTTCGGTACCTGTCCTTCATAACGAGAACTTGCCTAGACAGCTGCGCATGCGCAAGAGCGTTACGTCGGTCCCTGCGAGCGAACTGTAAACAGAGCAGCATGGGTAGAAAGAACGCACGCTAAAGCTTAGCTTCCGTTTCGCTAATGGTGCGTTCGCTTTCTCCTCGGAACTCCGAATTTCCGACTAGAAGAACATGAACGCGCTCTAAAGTTTTGCTTCACTTTACTAAATGCGACGGGTGATTGGGTGAAGATGAAACCAGCGACAACGATCTAAGTGTGAGGCATCATCGTTTTAATCTGCTCCAGCAGTTAAATAAACTGTTAAAGATAGCGTTAGCTTGATATGTTAGCTTCCATTGCCACCGTTGTTATCAGCTAATGGTGCGTTCGCTTTCTCCTCGGAAATTCTAACTTCCCAGTAGGAAAATTCGAATGAAAAAAGACGGCAAAAGGAATGAAGATACACAGTAAATTTAGTTCACAGTAAAGATGTTTGCTTCAGTTTAATTATCAGCTTATAAAACTACAAGGACGATGTTAAAATACAAACAGTTGAATGTTATTTATCGTGATATTTATCAAATATTGTTATATATTGAGAAAAATATATATTTAATTATAAAAGAGAATTAAAATAATAAACACTCAAAAGTATCGAAAATTGGTACTGTTAAGTACCGGTATCGATTCGTAGGTACCGAGAATTAGTACCGGATCGATTCAGATGTCAAAGGTACCCATCCCTACCCAACAGGAAGCACGTTTTCCATTTATGTACAAGTTCAACAACAAACATGGTGGAGATATTTGCTCAAAGGGGATTGGGGATGTTTTTTCACCCATAGCTCGTAATGGTTCCCTGTCAGACCAATGTGGTGCACATCCTGGAGTCCTACGTCAAACACTTCGCCATCAACAAAGCATTCATGGCCAACGAGCGGTACAGACGTCAGCAGAACGCCTCACAGAGCAGCAGTCCACAGCCGATTCCTCCAGAGAAGAGGTGAGCCGTCACACGTCGCAGTTATAAGCAACTAGATCCAACTGGAGAAGCACAAATGAAATGAAAGGGACTCGAGTGTGTTTAGTTGGGTCATAAATGTCTGCAACTGTCATGACATTTGAAAACCCAAAAGCTAACTTTAAAGCAATTGTAGAAGTGGATCGATCACTTTGGTTTCTATAATTACAGTAAGGTATTTTATCCTTACTTGCTTTGGGTTCTGTTTTCCTATTGGCCAGCAGAGGGCGCACTTACTCCACTAATTCTTTGTTATAAGTGTTTATATTACTTTAAATAAAAGGGGATGCTCTTAAGCATCACGTATGTATTTACTTTGGAAACAAATCTATTCAGAGTGCTAATGTGCTTGAAGAATAGGATTAGTACTTTTACCAGCTATTAAAAAGCTGAATCATTTGGTTAGAGTGCAGTGTCATGTGACTAGAGACTAGAGAAAAAAAATGTACGTATAATATTTTTAAATATCAAAATTGCTCGCTGCGATGCCCTGAAAGTCCTGTTATTTGTCGTTTTTAAGCGAGGAGCTCTGTAAGGAAATGGTCGACGGCCTGAGGATCACGTTTGACTTCACCCTACCCATGATCCTCCTCTACCCATGTGAACAAGCTCAGTTCAAAAAAGTCAGCTCTTCCAAACTCTTCCTCAGCACGAACGAAGGCTCGCCCTCCTCCAGCAAGTAAGTGTGTCCTGACGAGTGCGCCGTCCATTTGCACTATCTGGGTTGTTTATTTTTTGCCTTTCAAAGCACCCAACGAGAACGCAGCCCGAGCCCACCAGTCCACAACCCCCCCACTCCTCAGTCCACAGACAGCCAGCCGGCTCTGAGCGACACGTCCGCCACCACGCCCACTGCTGCAGCTCCCACTCCGAAGCGCCGGCGCCACCCCGATACGGACTGCATCTCTTACCAGTCTCAGTCCCTCAGACGCTCCACGAGGAACACATCAGGAGGGGATCGGCCCGCTGAGGGAAGCAGCGGAGGTCATCAGAGTGAGTTTTGTGTTCAGTCCTTGTGCAGTGTTTATATCGCTTTTGTGACAGATTTCTTTAATGATAGGTGGAGGCAGCGCTACGGCCTCACCACAGCTCAAACGCCGTTTTGTCGACATCTCTTCGCAACCAAAGTTCTTCCTCAACCTGGACAGAAGTAGGTTTACTCTTTTTATAAAAGGAAACGTTACACCGTTTAGTTTTTGTCCTAGATTTATTTAGATTATGGTTGTTTCAGTGAGAAGAACTTCAGATTTGTTGCTGATAAAGCTACATTAGCAAATCTGGAAAACAAGCTAACTTAAAAAAAATTCATGCTTTTTAACAATGTTCTAACATAGGATAGCTATAAATATATTCTTGAGATAAAACAGTGATTCTCTAGCATTTGTCTAAAACCCTCAGCCAATAACACGGCTAGATCTGAACCCAACGATTGGTTCATTCGGTCGTCTGTCTCATCGAACCACCGCACTTACTCACTTTCCCGGGTCCTCCACTCATTACGTGCTTGCACATTTAGCAACAGAACACCGCTGTTAGAGGTTCTTGGTTCAATAATGTCAAAGAAGAAGAAACAGCCGGCTGCTACCGCTTTAACTTTTGGACAAACTACCAGAGTCCCAAAAAGAAAAACCCCATTTGACGTCATGGACAACAACTTTTGGACCTAGAAAACAGCGACTGGTGTTTAGTGCTCTCACGTTTCCTCTGGCAGTGTGGGTTCGGGTGTCGGGGACGTGGCATAGGGATCATGGCTAATGGGCTAACTTGTTCTGTAGATTTGCTAAGTCTCGGATGGATGGGATGGATAACCTGTAGAGCTGGGTGCAGCGGGGAAAGTTGGTGCTTTTTATCTGGGAGAAAAGAATAAGGTGGAGGATGTATTTAGTGAAAAGAAGGAGCCCCAACAATGAGCCCTGAGGTACACCGGTGGAAACAGGAAACACAAATATGAATGCAAAAAGGTCTCGGTGTTTCGTGGTAGTACTAGTACTAGCATTCGTTAAGCTAAAGGGAATGAGTGGGTGACTTGCTTGGAGAACAGAAGTTACTGGCAGTTTTCAATAATGAAAGAACCGTACCAATAATGAAAGATGAATTGGTGACTGAGTAAATGGCAGGTTGTTGGTTTAGATCAATGATCCGCAACTGGTGGCCCTTGGGCCACGCCTGGCCCGCGAGCCTTCTCTTTGTGGCCCCCAAACCCCGCGCCCACCCCCACCCCCGACGGCCGACCGGGAGGTGTAGGATAGAGCTGAGGAAAATAATAAAATAATCGATGCATGAGATGCGGGCATAAAAAATTCTGCATCATAGAACATTACCATAATCAGTTATAGAGGAATGTGGTTTTGTTATTTTAACGGCGGCATCAGCGTAGCATCCACATCTGTCAGAGCGGTGTTCTCCACATTTATCAGGTAGGAAACTTTAGTCCGCCTTTATGTGGTACTGCAGGGCTGAGCGCTGGAGTTATAACCCGAACCGAATCAGCCCGATCGGTTCTGTTGGATTTGGGCCATAAATTATGTTAATTGAGCAGGTTGTCGCGCACTCCGCTCGCTCGATCAGCGAGAGCGAGAGAGAGAGAGAGAGAGAGAGAGAGACGCTCCTCCAAACACGCGTTATTTTCATAAGTTCATTATTGTTTCTCCTGGAAGCGCTCAGTCAGACCGAGTGCTGTGATGTGGGGAGGTCCGGTCTTGGGGAGGGAGCGGAGTTAGTCGGGGGCCGTCTTGCTTCTGGGTCTTTTTTGTGAGTGGCCCTCAGACCATTATAATTGAGGACCCCTGGTTTAGATAATAAATCAAATGAGTGACATCATCAAGGCACGAGTGAGGTAGGGTTGGGGGTAACATGAGGTCAGACTTACAGGCTGCTTTTGCTGCCTGCAGTAGCTACTGCATGCCACTAGATGGTGTCATTTTACTTCCCCTTTCTTGAAGCACCCCTCAGGTATTCTAGTTAAGCAGCAATAAACAGCTGTAATGTCATGAAATGGCCTGATTTTGAGATCCCACAGGTCAGATCCACAGCCAGGTCAACGTACCCCTGGCTATGACACAACCTACAAGATTTTCCCCTCACAGGAGACTGGAAGTCTGCGCGTAGTCCCTTTAATCAGAGCCTGCCTTCCTCACACCAGCTGGACTGCAGCTCTGACAGATAATAAAAGATGAACAATAACATTCTCTCCTCCAAGGTCCTTCACAGAGAAACTCTTTCAAATGAACTCCTTTATTCCCAGAAGAAAGAAGATTTTATAATTAAAGATAATCATTAAATATTGCTATTTATAATTATATGCAATGAGATGTTCATTGATCTGTGTTTAATGATAAATGCTTAGCATGTTTACTGGGTGAGGTCATCACCATTTGCACACTCATACAAAGACAAAGTAAAGTGAAGTTAACACATGACACATAGTTAACCTTTTGCCCAGATTCAGAGTCTCTAGATCGAAGAGGGTGTGTTCTGAGATTCTTGGTAACATCTCCCAAACTCGTCAGCCCCTGATTGGCTGGCCAAATCCATAACATCAATCTATTAAAACCAGTCGCTCTGGTTTTTCCCTCAGTTCGAACAGTTCGAGAGTTCTAGAGCGAGCTTCAGACCGGCCATCTTTAGCACCTCTAACCAGTAAGGATTTTGACACATCGTCTAAATCTTTAAAACCTTTTTTGCACCTGCGAAGCCGAGAAGAACAAGATAGTACCTGCAGTACAAAGCAAACGCAAACTCCTTCAGAGTTATTTTTAAGACGCTCGGCTTCATCTGTCGTTGTGACCCGGAGACATCTCAGGACTGATTTGGTTGCATCGAGGTTTCTCTACGAACCACGTGCATTGGGGTCGTCGGCTCCTTGACATCTCGGATCCGAACGGGGGTCTCCAGAACGGGTGAGGTAGCACACAGCGAGATAGCATCTGTATGTGGTTTTGATAATAACAACTTTATAGCTTATTTGCAAACAAAATTCTTTTATGTCCAGAACTCTCTGAGAAAAGAGATTCTGACTCCATTACATTATATTCACACATAAGTTCCAGACACCATCCTTAGTTCGCATCCACTCACAGTAAATAATAGTTTAACCATTTTGTCAAATCTTAATTGTTTGTAAAATAAATTCGTAATTTTTATAAACCTGACTGTTTCTTGAATCAAACGAAGTGTGTACGATCCCTTAATGAATAAAGAATCCTAGAATCTTCTGACTAAAACAAATAAAGACCAGGCAAGGTGATATTCTATATTTAAATAGAGTATTAGAGCTTATTGGTCACAAGTGGTGTTAATAATATAATTAGCTCTTAAAGTAATTTACTTACTCCAACATACTATTTAATCTAACATTACACAGCCTTGTAAATATCGTTGAAATGTAATAAAATGTAGCTTTCACTTCTTTTCATCCAGAAACTCCCATCCACAGTGGCTCCTCTTCGCCGTTGCCTTCGACTCCAAGCAAAGAGACAAGTGGTCCTTTTTACGGTCTGGAAAGCCGCAGAAACAACGAGCTTAATGAGGTGGTGATGTCATTTAGGGACTGTTCAGTTGTCATTTTATGTTTATTATGCTTAACAAAGAGGTTTTACCAAAGTGTGGAGCAGCAAAACGATACACACATTAAGTGAACACACTTTTAAATTTGGTTTGTGGGATATCAAAGACCATCCGTGTTCCAGATGAGATCTAGACATCAAACAAGGATCTACAGTAATTATGTGCTTGTTGGAATAAAATATTCAAATGTTACATCAGGATATTTAATAAAGCATTGATTGAATGCTGCTAGAGGCCCAAGAACACCTATTAGGTTTCCCTAAAACAGGGGTGTCAAACTCATTTTAGCTCAGGGGCCACATTGAGGGAAATCTAGTCCCAAGTGGGCCGGACCGGTAAATAAAAAAAAACTTCAGATTGTTTTCTTTGTTTAAATACAATCAATATGAAACAAGGCTGGAGCCTGAGGACAGTGTAGAACAAGTACAACACCTGAAGTGTACTTGAAAATTTGAAAAAAATAAAATAAAAAATCAATACATAATAAAAAATTCCTTAGTGATTCAAAGAGCTTACAGATCACATGGCAAGATCAGTTCCATGCAGCACTTAAAGTATATTTGACTCATTTTACTTTACATCTTTTAGCTTTCACCGGAGCATCAACATCAGAAGTCACATCCTGAGTGGCGGCCAACTTCAGGATGTGATTCGAGTTCTGGTGTGAGCCTTGAGCGCAGCTTTGTTTTATTTATACTCATTACAGAGAAAACTTGCTCACAAAGATACGTTTATTTTCACTCTACATTGTAAAGTATGAAAATAAAGTTTTCACAACCATCTCGCGGGCCGGATTTAACCCGTTTGCGGGCCACATCCGGCCCGCGGGCCGCATGTTTGACACCCCTGCCCTAAAAGCTGACATTTTTTAAAGTTTTTTTTTTAGATGAAGAAAATATAAATTAGTCTAAACTACTCAAAATAAAAATTTTAGCTAAATAGCATGAAAACAAATTTGTCAAACAGTCAAGTTCATAGTTCTGACATCGCTTTATTGTGGTTTTGGTTGAAATCGACACTATTGTGCTTACAGGTACATCTCTAGAAACGTGGGAAAAGTAACTGAATATGTGTCACTTGTTTCAGATATTCTAAGTTATATCAGACTTCTGAAAAATACGTTGAATTAATAAATATATGAAAGGTACAGAGAATACATCCCTGTGGAATTCCATGGAATAGTTAAGACAGGACAAAAGCGATTTGTCTTTAATAAACCAATAACTTCTTTGGCCTGGTTCCAACACGGAGGTAATTATGCCGACTTCTGACCCGATTCTTCTAATTGGACCATCTTAGGTATAATCTCGGTAACCGTAACGGCTCTAAAGATAAAATCAGATATTCCTGACATGTGTGGTGTTCCGACCACTCAGGTCCGTTCAGAAGGATGTAGGGACTAGCCTGTTATTTATGTGGATGTGTAGTTCAGCCACAACCAGCGGGGAAAGTTCAGTCGTGGGGCAGAATATACGGCTGTCTTTCAAACCGTCTCTGCATTCTATTGGACAACAAACAACGTGATGTACTCATCACGGCGGATATCCGTCAATGGGGCAGGCGCTGTTGAAGAGGAAGCAAATACACAGTTTTTCTTAATAAATGACTTGAGTACCTTTACCTGCTCGTGACTCAAAGAAAAGCCCAAGTCTAAATGGTCCAAAGCTGATGCCAAATCTGTTACTCAAGAGCCAACGCCATCTTAGTTGTTCAGCTCCGTCGCGTCATCCCACGAGCCAAACCGATGGAGTGCTCTTATACGCGTAACACAATACAGCTCAGGTCAACGGTACACCTGCTGAGGCTCCTATGGAGCATGGCTAGACCAACCTGCAGAGCAAAGTCGTTTTGGCTCTGCTACTGTCCGCTACATCAGAACTGCTCCAATCACAAATCAGAGATATTCAACACAGTTTATTGTCTTGGGCAAATTTTGAGGACAAACGTCCGTGCTGCTCGTTGAATCTGACGCACAGCCAATTGGAAAAGCTAGATGCTTCTCCACTGCTGGTTGTTTGCTCTGTTGCCACATTTGATATCGAGAGGTTTTTCAAAGGTTTCACGTCTGAGGAATGTTTGTGTTGAATCAGTTCATATGTCTTGTGTTGCGTATGTTTACTAAGCTGGTAAGCCATGCTATACAAACAACCAATCAGCACGAGTAAACCAAAAGTTCCACTCAGTCTTTCCGAGCACCTGCCGCTGTTCAGGTACTCCGGAAGTAGCTCAAATCGGCCCGTTTAGTCGGCCCGCGGAGTGGAGACGCACTCAGGCTGGGAAGTTTTGTTGAATTGAACCTGAACTTCCAGTACTGGAAACACGCCTGTAGAGCGCTGTGATTGGCTCAGCCTAAACTTAGCTGAGCCAGAGGTAGACATGAGGCCAGGCCGAACTTTAGCTGCTGCTACGGTTGCTGGTTGTTTACACCTTTTTCAATAAACCACAACAATCTTCTGCATCAAGTTGGTTTCTTAAACAGCTTTTGTTCGAACCAGGTTCTGAGCTGGAGGCTGACTCCTGACAACTACCCTCTGACCGACCAGCCTCTGCCACCTTCTTACCTGTATGGATCACAACACCTGCTGCGGCTCTTTGGTCTGTTTCTAAAAACCGTTTCAGTCCAGTCACATTCAGCCACCTCGCCTCCAGCGGTCTGGTGCCCACTGCCCGGCTTAACACCGCCAACTAACCCTCTCCTTTCACTTTCCAGTGAAGCTCCCAGATATTCTGGGGAAGATGCAGCTCCCCGACAGGAATCTCCGAGCCCTGATCAAACATCTGGAACTCTTTCTCAGGTATTGATTGGGTGGGATGGATGAAAGTGTCGAGGTTTTCAATACTTTTCCTGAAAGCTTTCGGTCCACTCACAGGGACGTTCGACCGTAAAATTGAAACGGAGAAATAATGTCCCATGAAGTGGCATGAATCAATTCATTAGGAGGAAATGCACCTTGCTAATATCCAGCACGGTTCATTAACCAAGGTCTGTCCCAGCTGAGCAGCTGAGCTCCACGATAAGTGCAGAGTTTCCATTTCACAAGGAGAGAAAGGCACAACCTGCACCTTTAGTCCAATCAATTATTTACATTCAAGTCGAGCACAGATGTTAGAGAAGTTGTCTGAGTCTCAAAGAGGGGGGTGGGGTGGGTAAGTGCAGACACGTTGTGTTGGAGGGAGGGCGATGAGTGGGTGTTACACAAGCGCCGGAGTCTAATCTTTAAATCCTCCCTGGCGATCTTCAGGGATTTAGGTCCTTTCGTTCTCTAATCAAACACGGACAGTTCCTGTTCCTGCCAGCAGGTGGCGGTGAGGAGCAGCAGTCACCTACAAGTGTCTTTTATCCGCTCCTGGTTGCACAAACGGTTACAGATCTGCAAATAAAATGGCTTGAGCGTCAGCAGTTCTTCCTAGAAATGCATCAGCAGCAGGGTCAGAGGCCAGGGAGCCTTTTAAATCAACCCAAACCAAAAGAACGACTTCTTCATGTCGGACTGCTTTCACTAAAATTAGCTCACGCAGGGTTGTTGTTATTTTTTTAAACGCTCTAATTGTTATTCTCTCCTTGTTGGGGGCTCAGCAGGACGCTGGCGACCAACTCCAAACAAGCGGCGTCTTTTGGGAAAGACTTTGTGTTTTCCAGTCTGTAATCAGCCTGCAGGCAGAAGCTGATTGATGTCGCTGAGACTTGACGTGCGGTGCATTCTGGGATTTGGCCGCGGCTGATCTCTCGCTCTGCCCCTTTTCCTCTGCTCGGTCGACGGTGATTAAGCGTGTTGATCCACACGTTATGCAGATTTATGACGCGTCTTTGTGTTATTGCTTTTCTTGCAGAAAATTGGGCCGTGCTGATCTGTATTGTCGACTCGAGAAAAACGGTCTACGGGATATTAACCATTTTTAATTTTATGATTTAACTTTGTTGGCCCGTTTACGTTAACCATCGACTTCCCGTTGGGTCGTCCTAATTGTTAATTTTTATCGAAGTGCTTCTAAATAAATAAACTCTGCTCTGATAATTTGTTTGCATTGAGATTAGGAAGGTTGGTGGAGCTAAGATGAGATGGCAAGATTTAGAGGATTTGGCCGAGTAGCGGATACTAAGAAGATTCCGGATTAGTTTTCCCCGTTACTGATTAGATGGGATGAGGTGGGTGTGTGTCGAGTGGGGGTGATTTTTCACTTTTCCCCCCTCCTGACGGTCGGTCAGTAACTCTCTGGACCTGTCTAATGCAGAGATTGGTTTCTGCTGATGGTATAGGGATGGATGGAGGGGGCTTTGTTTGTGATATAATTATACAGACTGGGGTCATGGGGTCGTAGATTTTCTTGGAATGAGTCGGAGATGTCTAAGAAAACCACACGATGGTCTGGAGATGCCTCCCTGTTTTTAGTTTTAGCTTGAAGCAAGCCGTTTGTTTCAGCCTAAACGAAGCTGAACTATGGAACAAAACTCAGAAATACCATTATTTTTGGTCAAAACTTTAACTCATTCACTGCCAATGTTTTTACTGTGTGGGCGTCGGAACGAGCCCCCGCGCCGAGAACGAACAGCTCTAAAGCCGATCTTCATCCGCATACGTCACACGTCACGTGATCAGGAAGCAGAAAGTCCACGTGTTAGGAGAACGTTTTGGGCCGCTGCTGTAAAAAAAGTGAGGCGTGAACCGGAAAAGCGTCTGCCGATCACAATTTAACAACGGATTATGAAAGAAAGGATAACGCTCGAAGCTCGTGGATTCTTCCTGATGTAAGAGGTGAGTCTCTTTGTTTTGGCGTCAACATCATCCTAGCGCGCAACGTTCTGTGACTCTTAAAAAAACCAGTAAAAACGGCGAGAAACACTGGCAGCGAAGGGCTTTATCGATCGATCAGGAAACGACTGGCAGTGAGTTAATTATACTGTACAATAATTTCAATTTGTCAATACATTTTGCTTCTAAACAATTACAAAAACAAAAAAGTGGCAAACGAGTCGTCAAAATGACTTTTCTGCTCTAAAGGATGGATGCAATGAAATAAAAATTCTCGGCCAGAACAGAGAACTGAAAATGAGGAAACCAAGGTCGAAATACCGGAAGAAATTATTATGTCAGTCATTAGAACCATAGTATTAGAGGGACTATAAAATTAACTCTTTAAAGAGGGACTGCACACCGTCAGACAACGTAACTCCACCCCTAGTCAAGATTTAAAAAATGCTATGAAAGTGGGCGTTGCCAGGAGGCACAGAGTGGCATGGCCACATGTGGGAAATTTCCATCCTGGGAGGGAGGGGAGTGGGAGGAGACTGTACCGATGACATGAAACTACCGGCCCCAGTCAATCACAAGTTTAAAATGCAGTAGCTGCTGTTCTGCCACAGGGGGCAGCACTGAGACATTTTTAGACCTAGATTCTAGATTAATTCAAGTTTACACAAACATGTCAAAAAATGCACAGAAACAAAAAGATTGCATTTGTAAAGACCCGATTATACAATTTATAAGCAAAAACAATTCATTTTGGGGTTTAGTTAGTCTTTAATCGTCAAAGTCACAATATTGCGTTTAACGGGCCAAATCTACTCCCTCACAAAGATATTACTTTACACCAGAAGATAGTGGAGATGTGTACCTTCAATCTGAGCAGCACTTTTGAGTGTTTCTATTGACATTTTCTGAGTTTATAGAGTTTGACAACTGTCGCTCATCCGGAGGCTCCTGAACGAGAAGAGACGAGCAAAGCAGAATCGGAAGGCTTATATTGCCATATGTGAAAGGAATCACAACATTAGGAAACAGCTGTGGTACTTGGTGCAAAAAGAAAGATAAAAATAAAAGATAAGTGAATATAGGAAGTAAGAATATAATTATGATATTATAATAATATAAAGTGTCAAT